TCTGAGGACTTCAAATGTGGAGTATTGTGCAAAATATTTGTTGATGTGATTGATGATGTGTTGTTCAACGATGATAAGAAGATGGAATAATTGTCGCACTGATCTGAGCTAGCAGAATTGAAACTGTTGTGTTTTAGAATTATCTAGTTAAAGCAAACTGCTTCTCCCATTTTGATGATTAACTTCACCAATGTCTGTAGGGTCAAAAATTAAAGCTACCATATTCAGTAATTTCTTCATTTCTGAATGTTTTCCCTTTCACTCTTACAGTATCAAGCCCAAAAGAAGGGCAAGATTAAAGAAAAGTTTTATTTTTGCAATTAGCAAAAAAGTTTGTTTTTGAACTTTCTTTTTGGTACTGAACAGCTAATTGTATTTTGTTGAAATGTAGGAGAAAATAGAATTTTGTTCAACAAACGATATGTGCGAATCATTGTCTATGCAGTTTCTTCATCGGATTTCTTTTAAACTCGCTTAATCAAATTTATCAAATATATTGTTTCAGAAAAAAAAAATAAAGAAAAAAGTAGTGGTCAAAAATACAAAAAGAAAAAAGGAATACTTACACTGATTTTACATTCAGCTGTAGTAAAATATTTCCATCTATCGTTTTCCTACACCAATTTTTCATTGCCTTTTTCTCTCAATTTTATCAGTATTTCCTGAATTTAGTTTCTTGTTTTCAAACAATTCTTTAATTCAGCTAATTTTGGGTAAACCAATTTTGGTCTTCTTGCTGCGTTTATTTTTTTACCCTTTTTCAACATTGACGTGCTGCCTGCTTAGAACATTCATTTTTTTTTTGGGGGGGGGGGTTCTTTGTTTTGTTTTTCCTATTCATTTATTTGTCGGTTTTTTTTGTGGTACAAATTAATTGTACCGTTGATTGATATTTTGAAAAGCGGATAGGAAAAGTGAAAAAAGAAAAAGAGAAAGTAGAATTATCGATAATGTTTTGTTGTTTTTTTTTCAGATCTTTGAAATGTAGTAAGACAGTGCAAAACAAAAATAGGGTTAAAATTGATGTTTCAGATAAAGCATAAAATTTTATGTTATTAATAATTTCAAAATTTTGTTTTCTTTTTTTAAGTGGTTTTTCTAAGCAATATAAAGTACTGCAAATGGACGGCGAATCAATCTGCTGACTGATAACTATTTTTTATTGTACTTTTTTTTTGAGCAAAATTTAAAAGTTAAAAAAATTTTTTTTATTGGTTTTAATCGAAACTGCAAATATCAAACAAAGGGCAAAAAAAAGAAAATTTAGATGACAGTTTTAATACAAACAAATTGATCACCAATTCCTTCTTAGTGCTGGATGACAGGGTTCCGTAATTTGTATGCAGCTGTGACATTTTCAAGTATTATATTTATTCTTTCTATTGTTTCTGTTTCATTCGCATTTTTAATTTTTTAGATTTAATTGGAGAAAGAATTTTGCTGCTGCTTTTGTCATTATTTTTTCTGCCTTTATAAACTCTTTATCCGAAGAACAAAACAAAAACCTAAAAAGATGCAGTTCAAAAATTGTCTGTTGTTAGCTTTACTGGATTCAGAATAAAAGTTGTTAGTTGCAGAAATTAGAAAAAGGAGGATACAAGTGAGGAGGTGAAGTAAGTAAGACGTTTTTTCCACCTGTTTTTGCTTTTTGTAAAACATTATTTGCACATATTGTGGCATTCAATGAGCCGATAGGCTAAAAAACAGTGAGGCTGAAGAAGGGATAAAGGAAAAGAGGAGGCAGGGAGAAAAGAAAAATAGAAACAAACGGGGAATGAATTTGAGGACAAAATAGAGGACCAAATAAATTCGAGATGGAACAGCTTCAATTTGGAAATACGGCAATTTTGCAGTTGGAAAATTTTTTAGCTTGAAGCTGGAAAAGAAAAGCTGCTTTGTCGCTGTAGGAACTAAGTTCGGAAGAAAATTTTAGGTCAGTTTTATGATTCAATATGCTATTTGAAGGTGCTGTTCTTGAACAAAAAAGCCACTATTTCATTGCTGCTGTACTGGTGAAGGCGTGAAAGAACGGATAGGTGGCCGGGTGATCAAGATAAAATAATAAATCTAATATGAAAAAAAAAATTTTGAAAAAAAATTTTGTTTTTTTTGATTTTTTCAACACTTAACGAAAATATGTCTGCAAATTAACCTAACCGGCAAAAAAAAAAAGAAATTATTTTTTTTTCAAAATTTTTAAAAGTAAAAAAGAAGTTTCTAAAATAACGGCAATAAAATTTATTGAATTAACTGCACCAAAACCAATACCATCAAAATCGTATTTTAAAAGTTGGTTGAAAAGACTATTTTTTTTTCTGAATGCCATCAAAAAAGTCAATTAATTTTCTGGGCAATAATTAAGTCGTGGTAGATTTTCGTATTATATAGTGTGTAATATTAAGAAAAAAAAGAGCAGGAAAAAAGCTTCGATAAAGATTAAAGATTGAAAATCAATGCAATCATTGACTAAAATTGTCTTTAGTTGTTGTTTTACTGCCTAATCTTCTTTTAAATCAACAAACGAAAGTTCTTACTGCTGTTCATTTTTGTGGTTTGACCAACCTTAGTATGTCCAGGCCAGATTCTGTAGCCTGAATATTTTCTGTATTTGTATCACAGTATACCAAATTTGGATTGTCGTTTGACAGCACAACATTTTTATCAATCTAAATTCGTTGGTTTTCTTTTAGATGGCACCAAAGAAATTGATGTCTTAGCAGCAGAACTGATCGCAGTTTAAAGAAAACTAGAGCAGGGGGAAAAAAATAAGGAGAACAGCAAAAAGAGAAGAACGAAATTAGTGGTCGAAAAAAATTTTACCAACTATCAAAAATCAGCTTCTCTGACCACATACTTAATGAAATTAAATTGGCTGTACATATCGATCATGGTCGTTAATTTTTATGCTCAGGTAACCAACAGCTTTACTTATAAAACATTAAATAGTTTACAAATACAGTTCAAACTTAAAGCACTTAGTTTTGAGTAATATACAGTTTTACATCATTATTTATTGAAAATTTTTGTCAAAATTGTTCGGTGTTTTTTTCTTTTTTGTGTGTGTGTTTTTTGTAACTGTTAATATAGGTATTTGGTAAACGAAGGAAATGTTCAAGTAATTCATTATCTGAAGGAGCAATTGTGGCAAGTGTTTTAAAAAATTATACAAAAATGTTACCAGATCAAGAAGATGCCGTCAATGTTCATATTGAAATGCATTTACAAGTAAGCTATTCTCTTCTCTCTTCGGTTTTTTTTTTTTTTTTTTT